ATATACGACAGGTCTGGACCACTCGTGAATTTTGTTCGTATCTGAAAAAAATCTTAGAATATGAAAACATTGGTGAATGTCACAAATTCTCCTAAATCACTCGTACGCACAACTTAAGAACAAATCTGTGTACAAACGGTTCTTGCATGAGGACCATTGTTATCAAGGGAGCACAGATTAACAGGGAGTTCATTTCAGAGCCTGGGGGCCACAGAGGAGAAGGACCAGTCACCACGGGTCTTAAAGCGAGTGATGGGAACTATAAGGAGATGTTGATCCTGTGAGCGGAGGTCTCGTCTGGGGTTGTGAGGGGAAATGAGACTTTTAATGTATTCTGGAGCTTGGCCCTGAAGAGATCTGAAGGTGAGGACCAGGACTTTGAACCAGATTCTGAACTGAACCAGAAGCCAGTGAAGTTCTGCTAGGATCAGGGAGATGTGGGTGAGTTTGGAGGTTCGGGTTAGGAGTTGTTAAGTTGTGTCCTTGAGCAAGACACTTCCTCCCAATGCCTCTGATGTTTGTCCCATCAGTGTATGAATGTGACTGGCACTGATTAGTCTCCATAGATGATTGAGATCTGGTAGAGTGCTGTGTGAACAGGTAAACGAGGACACAGATTGTAGTGTGAAGAGCTTTGAGTGTCTTGGTTGGGTAGAAAGGCGCTATAAGTACAGTCCATTTACCATTTCACTTGACCAAACTCTATAAAACACCATCGACACAAAAAATAGAACATGTGATCATCAGAATGCTTGACGATTGTTCGTCAAAGACTTAGACTCTGCCTGTCTTATTAGGAGTGTTGTCAGAACAGTGACAGCTACAGGTGGCATCACCTTAATACTGTACATCTCATCAGCAATGGGCACAACTAACCAAACAATTAGCTTTACTAATTACTAATCCATCAAACAAGAACTGTAGCTCCGCTAACGCTAAATTGTTAAACATATATAAAATAAAAAAAGAAAACAGGAAACTAATGCTAAATGCTAAGATGGCCGTCAATTTAATCTCCTTCCAGTAGCAGACAGCTGGAACTGACACAAACCTGTTGTTAGTTTTCTATTTGTTTAATTTTAAGGTGGGCAGGATCATCTGTGATGAATCAGCCATTCCAGCCCAGGGATATACTGTAGCTCTGTCTAAATTGTGATTCTTAATTTACTGCTTTCAGAATAAAAGCATTTCTAGATCAAGTTTGTGTTTTTATAAATACTGTTTGAAATTAGTCAGACAACAAAGAGAAAATACTTTCTCTAGCATATTTATACGTAGTGTGTTTTGGAATTCATTATGTAAATATTGTTAAATGTTTGTAAGAAGGGGGTAGTTTTCATTAAATTAAGGAGAAAGGGAATAAAATTAAAAGTTTTACATTTGTGAATTTATTAGTGGAGTGGAACCTAATTTAGAGGAAAGTTAAAAAAAGCTAATCCACTAAATGAGAAACTAGTTCTGTTATTAACGGATTAGCTTAGATTATTACAAAAGTAAATTACCAGTCTTTAAAGATGAAAGTTGATGTTTGTGGCTATTTTAGCTGCATCGACTCCTTTCATAATTTCTTAGAAAAGTGACTGGCATCCAAATTAACTGAACTGTGATACTTTTGTCAAGATTAAAATGGACTTCTGAAATGTACAGTCACAATTTCTGTCATACAGAAGTTTTACCAGAATTAAATGAACAAAGAGTACCCATGAACTGGTGGTTATTAAATAAACTTTCAGTTTCTTCAAGTGTGAAGAGGAATATATTCCTCACATACTTTATGTTAGAACAGTCTGCCTCTGTCAAGATCTGTTCCTGTTTTAGTATTCACAGGTCCTTCTCAAAAAATTATCATATTGTGATAAAGTTCATTATTTTCTGTAATGTACTGATAAACATTAAACTTTCATATATTTTAGATTCATTACACACCAACTGAAGTAGTTCAAGCCTTTTATTGTTTTAATATTGAGGATTTTTGGCAAAAAAAGTAAAGAAAAATCAAAAATCCCTATCTCAAAAATTTAGCATATCATGAAAAGGTT